TTGCAGTTTTGGAAACTCTAAGGAAAGGAAACTCGAGAAAAGCATGAGTGTGAGCTAAGAGGGTGGACCATCTCAGTTGGGGGAGAAAGAAGTTGCAAAAACTTCTCTTTCTGATTATGCTTATAACATACTAATACTCTTTTCTTAGCAGGCTCTTTTGAGCCCACTGGGAGCTGACTAGTGATTTTATATATATAAATATATATAAGTACATATGTATACACATGTATATAAATACATAGATATAATGTGTATATAAGTGTATATACAGTACATATTATTGATATTTATTTATAATATACATATTATTTATAATATGTATAATACATATTTTATAAAGAATAAAAGTATTCTTTATATATCTATATATATTACTTTTTTTCCTCCAGTGCTTCATTTAGCTTGAACATCTTTGTCCTCTTCATTTGTACTGGTGTTACATTTTCAATATTGCAGAGCTGCAGGTGCTGGCGTGTGTGTATATATGACTGGGTAATGGTCTTTTGTTAAGGCGTCCTGAAAATCATGCATTTTCAAAAGAGATGAAAGGGATGAAAATTGCATCACCTTGCCGGGGGCATGCAAGGACTTCTGCGAAATCTCCAAATGTCCAAATGGTTTCAGCTCCTGTAAGCGTCCACAGTCGACAAAGCAGAACTCATCCAGATTCCTCTACTAATTCTGTAGAAGAAAAAGAGGAAGAGTGGCTAGTGAGTCAGCTGCCATCATTAGCAAACATAAACATAATTAGCTTTTAAGCCCAGAAAACTAAAAGAACTTGGAAGTTAATCTCTCTTCTATGTTTATTAGTAGTATTTCCTCATCTTTCTATGGGTTATATATTTTTAAAATGTCACAAAGCATTTGAATAGAGAAGTGCTGTCTATATATAGTGTTGACCAAAAAAGGAGTCACTGAAAATTAAAGCAAACTGGCTTTTTTTTTCTTTTTTTTTTTAGAATTGGGTTCCAAGGAAGACAAAGAAGGGGGCAGAGTTATAAAGGTGGAAGGTTAGGAGTATAGTTTTTATTTAGGTCCTCTGTGCAAAAGAGGGATTGAAGTTAGGTTAACTGGGATTGGTTGTGTATGTAAATGAAGGATTGAAGCTTGTTAAACCGAATTGGCTCCTTTAGAAGTGAAGACCACAGATGATCCAGTTGCCATGGTGAGGAGGAAGTTACGTCCAGGCTGAGGGCCTGTGGCTAGATTAAAAGTTCAAACAGTTCATAGTTTCTCTGCTGAGGATGTGCATAAATTCCTCCTCCCTTATGGCCTCCTAACCTGTTTTAAAGGAGGTTCTCTTAGCTAGACTTGCTTGCTCCATTTTGAAGTCTTTTACCCAGTGTATAATCATCCTTCTAATCAGACCTATGCAGTCAATGTTGCATAGGACAATAAGGACAGACGGGTAAGATGACTTTTTTGGTACAGAGAGAAGCTTACTTACACTTAAAGATACACTATTTTTGGTTAAATTGTCAAAATGTGACTTTTAGGAACTTTCTGTGCTAGAAAATCTGTGTATTCATATTTTTGCCAGGCGAATGTGTTTCATTTCTTTTAAATTACAATGATCATGCATGCTTGTCATTACAAGTTAGCATATGAAAGCAAGTACCCCAAAACGGCTAATATTCTTTCTCCTGGTCCTTACATTTTTCAACTAGGATTTTTTATCTTTTTTACAAAGTTGAAATAATACTGTATGCATTATTTTCCTCCCCCACACTGTAAGTATTACTTTCGAAATTTGCTTCATTTTACAATTTGTCATGAACATCTCTGTAGGTAGATCTAACTGGATTTAGCACATTCCTTATAATAGCGGTATAATGTTCCATAATATTATATATATAGTTTATTCAGCCAGTCTTCCCTTATGGGCTTTCATATTATTTCCAATGCTACAGTAGGTCTCCTTGCCAGAGAATTAAAAGAACCCATTTGCGAATCACCCTGTGGATTCAAATGTTCCTGCCAACCAGTGATCTCTAAATCACCAACACCTTCTGTCAGGAAGACAAGATGACTTTTCACTGTAGAAACCTGCCTCTCCTCACAGCCCTGGATGACCCATCTCTTGTGGGGGACCCTGGCACCCTGGTCACTCAGTGCCGGTGTTGGTACAGGCTCTGAAAGGAAGATGGTCCTGGGAAGAGAGAGGGCTTGGAAATGACCAAGCTCCCAAGTAAAGCAGCCTGTTATTGCTCGTCCTCCTGCACATCTAGTTGTGTTTCTGATCTTAAAATGGTAGTTAATGAATATAACTTTGAAATACTCATGTAAAGGCAGAAGCAGAACTTCCAAAATAGCAGCCAACAGCAAAGAGACCTTGAAATAAACTTGGGGACCAGAATTTCTTCTTCCTTGTTGATGGCCTACTCTATAGGCCACCTTTTGGAAGTTCCCTTTCAATATACAAATTCTAATTCAATACTTCTTTAACATAGACTGTCTTACTAAAAAAGTTTACTCTGTTTAACCTAAGACATATAGCACTGAAGTATTTTAAATTGTGTATCTTAGCATTTTTATATGTATCATTATCTTCAACTTTAAGATTGTGGACCATCAGGCCGGTGATAACCAAGGTATTCATAGAACTGGTCCTCCAATCTTAGCATAGTAAACTTATTTGTGTGACACAGGGAAATGCTCCAGAGAAATAAACACTTGATCATGGCTCTGGCATCTCATGTGCTGTTAATTGGCTGAGGACAGAGTGGAAACCTGAAAATGGGGTCTTTTCCTATCTTGGTGTCAGGTGCTTCTCACAAGCTGTAGAGAAGAGATCTCTAATTGACGTTCATGTATCACGGGGAGGTGGGGGACTCACTAGATAACCAAACATTCCAGCCAGAAAGGGACACCCATGAAAAGATAGGGAATCTCTCCCTCTCTCCCTCAAACACACACACACACACACACACACACACACACACACATATGTGATTTTCCCAAGGTAAAAAGTAACGAAGGGCTGAATCAAAAGTAGCTGTTGTATGTCTGTCTATACATATCGCAGGGATTTGGAAAAATAATTTTGCGGTAAAACCTGCCATCTTGCCTTAAGAGTGAACTGAAACTGGATTTGCATGCCTGTGCCACATTAGCAGCCGGGTGACTTTAGATAAATTATTTAACCTCCCCGAGCCCCGGTTTCCACGTCCATGTAGTGAGAGTTATTCCTTACTACCTTGTAAGATTACTGGGAGGTGTAAAATGAGATAATAGATACGAAAATGTTCCTGTTGTATTGAATAAATCTGATTTTCCCTCTTAGGAAACTCAAGAGGTCTTTCAGTAGGAAGATGCTTGGGAGGGTTACAGGGATACACAGAAGGGCGGTGGAGCAAATAAAACCTTGTGAGATGTGAACAATGATGCCAGTAACCAAACATATGGTTTCAGGGTTATGAAGAGTTTCTACATCCTTTATCTCATTAGTTCTTCACAAGAATACTGGGAGTCAGGCTAATATCTTTATACCCATTGTACAGAGGAGGAACGAGACGCAGAGAAATTAAGTGAATTAGCCAGTATCACTTACAAGCCTGTAATGGAGTGAAGCTCCCTTTGACTAACAGCCCAGCGCTCTTTACTCTGTGCTGTCAATGCCAGACGGTTGGCAAATACTAAACAGCTGGAAGTCTAATGGATTCCAGGACTGTGCCCGAAAAGCTCGCATTGTTCTCAAATTTTCCACAATTCCTGCAAAGATGAGCCTGTTTTGGCCCCAGCCGGGCCTACTCCTGGACTCCCGAAGCCCACACTACGCTCAGTGTGTGTTTCTTGGGTCCTCTGAACCAAAGGACTTGTGTTTCGAATGTGAAACGCACTGTGTTTTGTGACTATTTCACTTTATTTTTTAGCATTTCCTGATTTGAAGTTCACCTATTGGAAAGGGCTCCCATCCAACTACAGGGAAAAGCTTGCTTTGCTTTGTGTAGGTCAAGACTCCCCTATCTCTGCCCGCAAGCACCACAGGTGATGTCTCTCCATTCCTTGGCTGAGACTCAGCACATTCTGTGGTATGATGTTGCCTGTCCTCATGTGTATACCTTCTTTCTCCCCTTTGAGAGTACACGTGCCACCCAAATGGAGACTATATTATTCCTTTGTACTTTGAGTGCCCAGCTGAGAGCCTTGGACTTAATAGGTTCTCAATAAATGCTTGCCGCTGCCGCTGCTGCTGCTTTGGAGATACTATTCAGCGTTGGCTTCTTAGGGAAGATTCTTTAGAAAACCTCATGTGAAAGAGGGTTCGTTTTAGAATAAACAGTATCTGCTACTTCTCGGCCTCCCTGTATGGTACATGATTTCCTGAGAATTCTTTCACAGAGACAATTACTAGAAAGACGAAGGAGGCTTGGGGAGGCACTAGTAATGACGATGTCCACTTCAGGGCAAGAAAAGGTAAAACAGCTTCTACTCTCCTAAACACGAACAGGAGGCTGTTGAAAATGAGGTCTGACGGAAATGCGCAGCTGTCGCTGGGGGAAAATGCCTTTGGGATAAAGTTGAATTTCTTATTTCTAAAGGGTAGGAGCCCAGTGTGTTTCTTTGGGCCTTACAAGTTACAGTGATTTGGTTTCAGCCTGAACGGGCACCACAGACGATTCCGGCAGGCAGGGCCTCTGCAGGAGTGGCCTCCGTTTTCATTTCCTTCCAAGCCCTAGTTTGGCGGATCCATCCACAGAGAAATAGAACAAAAGACAAGAGATTACTGCACCCTAAAGCATCCAAGTGGCTTATTCGGCTCAGGGGTTATTTATAGCAAGCTGGCTCACACTGAGCCCTTCCTGCTGTATTCAGGGAGTGTGGGAATGTGCTAATGGAAGCTTCGAGACCCTAACAGTAGACATAGGTGCAGAGTGTGATCGGTGATTGGATTCTCAAGCCTGTTGTGGCTTTGGTCTGGCCATGCCTTTCAGCACCACTGTGAGCATTTACCTCAAAATAGGCTCAGCCTCTTCCTCATGTGCACGTTCTATTTGCAGATGTTGCTATGAGGACAGATAGATCCGAGATGACTGATGTGGAGTCTGTGGTCAACAATTTTGCGTCCTCAGCCAGGACAGGCCGCCGGAACGCCGTGCCAGACATCCAGGGCTCAGCTGGGACAGGCGGATCCTCAGAGTTGCCCCTCAGCCTGGAGGCCCTCTCCGTGAAGGAAGGTAACATGCAAACTGTCCTCAAACCAGCAGGCCTCTCTCCTTGAGCAGTCCTTTCCTCTGGAACAGTCTCTCTTCCAACTAGTTATAAGTGCTCTTTTTTTTTTTTTCTTTTATGTTGACTAAGATCTCTCAGCTTTTGTTTAGGGCTAAGGACAGTTTTTAGGCTTTCTGAGAGTGAGTATCTCTCTTGATGTGTGTGTGCAAGCTGGACATTCAGGTAGCGACTGGGCATGTGCAGTCATGCGTAGTGCTAGTGATTGGGAGGAAGATGTGAACAAATATAATCCCTTCCCTCAATAAACTTAGAAATTTATCGAGAAACATTCAGAAATGAAATCGTTTTCCTCCTGTCATCCATCAGTCAACCACTTGGGAAGCTTGTGCTTCGCTATAGTATTCTACAAGCCCTTCTATTTCTCATATCTAAGAAGAAGGTTATTATCAATTAAAGATGAAGACTTTAAGGTATTTGTATAAAAGGTGACCGTTCTTCAGTGGAAAAAGTTGAATTAAGGAAAAAGGGGAGCTGTCAAATCAATGAAAGAAAATCTTGGGTCTTTCTCCCCGTTGCTTACATACAGTTCATATAGTTTCCAGAGTACAGTCTTCGGGAAATAAATATAATGAAGTCTTTTTATTTAAAAACAGTCATGGGAGTTAAAGAAACCTTCAGTTCCAAGTCATCATCAAAATACCTGTGCCTTATGCCCCATTTTAGACGTCAAGGTGGACTTTAGGATGGGTGTAGAAATTTATTCCTGCTGCCGATGAGGCCAGAGTGAGCCAGCAGCTTCTGCACATCTACTCTACTCACGTAGCTCCCAGAAGAAGACTCTTAGTCCTTTGCTTTAGAACATTTTTTGTAGCCTGGCAGTTACAAGTGTTTCTGGTATGATCCCTGTGATTTAAGTATGTCTTTGTTTAGCCAGAGACACCTCACCTTTTCCCAGAGGTCGTTGCATTTCTTATGCGAGACCCTACAGGTAATAGCAAAAAAGTACGTACATACACACAAACTAGTATGAGATGGAAAAAGGGAAAGAAAGAAAATTTTTTAAAAAATGTGTGTCATGGTTTTGGCCTTTTCAGTTTGAAAGTGGAATGTGGCTAGCAGAACACGGTGCTACTTCTGAGGGGCCATCCTCAACCAGTGACGTGGAGAAGCTAAGTTACTTATCCGTATGAACAGGCCTAATTAAAGTTTATATACCCCAAACACGCACCCAAAACCGTGATGCTTGTTGACATTACCTAGTTAAACAAAAGAGAAAAAACACACGGTAGGAGATTTAGTAGCCTTCGCCACTTTGTTTTGGTCACTAGAGAAGCCATTGTCTGAAAGAATGTTGTTACTAGTTTTATGTTGTTACAGCATAAAAATGTAACTAAGTAAATTTGAAGATTTAATTGACTTTATTATGGGATTCATGAATCAGGTGGCTTCCCATCCGGCAAATAGAGGGGAGCTCTGAGGAGTTGTGCAAGATGGAAAGTTCTTATCAGTAGGAGGCTGGGGCAGGAGAGTTACCAGCAAAAGAAAATAAAGGATTGTTCCAAGCGAGGTCCCATTCCCTTAGGGGGAAGGGCAAAGGGGTTATTAGGTGGATTATTTGGCGGTTATTAAGTGAGTTCCCTCAGCTCTGTCCTCTGGTTTCTGTTTTTGTTGTTGTTGATAAATATTTTAAGTGGGAAGAACTTTAGGATCTCAGATGTCTCGCATCCTGCATGAAATTCACCTGTCTGGAATTGGCCTAGCTCATCATCTGCCTCAATCTATGTCTTATACATTAATAATCACCATAGGGAGGATAATGATGCCCGATAGCATATCAGCAAGAAGCAACAGAGGGTGGCAGGTGTAAATGTCACAGAGGGCCTTTTCTTAAGTCCCTCCATCACTATGTATTGGATCCATCATTCAATGTAGTGCCCACCAAGTGCTAAGCACTATTCTAAAACCCATCGGCATAGTAAAGTCTTGTTGTCATGGATCTTGTATCTCCAGTGCGAGGGGTAGGTTATAAACAAGTGATGGGTTCTAGCAGAGAATTAAGTAGGATGTTAAGGTAGAGTTACTGCGTGGCTTTAGCCTGAGAAGTTAGGGCAGCCCTAACTGAAACCGGAAGGACAATGGGGTGTTTTGAATCACAACTGAAGGAAGCAGCAGACACAGGAAGGTCAGAGGTAAGCGTGGTCTTTGCAGAAGGAGCAGCTAGTAAAAAGCTCTGACATGGACATGCCTCCAAATCCTTTGTCTCTTTCCCTGACCCTCACCACATCACTCCTCTATTTCAAGATCACAAATGACATTGTCCCTGATGACATCAGTGGTCCATTCTTGGTCTCCAACCTGTGATCTCTTGGTTGGCAGTTTTGTCATGTTGGATCGTGCCCTTCTTCCCTGGGCTTCCTGGACACTTCACTCTCCTGGTTTTCTTCCTGCTTCACTGGCTCTTCTTCCCTATGCTGTTGTGTTTTTGTTGTTGTTGTTGTTTGTTTTGTTTTGTTTTGTTTGCTGTTGTGTTTTTTTTTTCATATCCCTTATCTCTTAATGAATTAGATGGTACCAGAACTCAGTCTTTTGACATCTTCTCTATCAATGTTCCCTCCTCTTGAGATATCATTCAATTTCACTGGGATAATATCATCTTCCTGATTACTCACAGATTTGGTATCTCTAGCCGGAAGCTCCTCTGGGTTCACACTCTTAAATCCATCTGCCTACTTGACCTCTCGACTTGGCTATCTAGCAGGAATCTCAAACTTAGGGGTAATAAAGAGACTCCAGACATTCTCCCTGACGCCTGCTCTTCCTGCCTGTTCCCCATGTTGGGGAATGGTAGTTTCACACTTCTAGTTGCTAGAGCCAAAACCTTGGAATCATCCTTGTCTAAGGATGAGAGACATATCATTAATTTTATTATTCAAATTTACATCTAATTTATCAGCAAAAATTGTCAGCTCTACTTTCACATTTGTCCAAATAACTGCCATTTCTCACTTAAAAGATCTGGTCACTTGGTACCTCTCTGACTCCTCCCTCTGCTCTTTTTCCTCCATACTGGTTCCCACTCGCTGCACATTGATGCCTTTGACCTTGCAGTTCCCTCAGTTTGGGTTGCTCTCTCCATGCTACCGGCATAGCTCACCCCTCACCTTCTCAGATCTTCACTCGCATGCCCCTCCTCCCCAGCCAATCCTATCTAAAATCGCAACCTCCAGGCCCCAAGACCTCTTGACAACTCCTATTCTTAAATTTCCTCCATAGCACTTAGGACTCCTCACTTGCCACACATTTTACTTGTTTTGTTTGTTTCCCATATCCCTCATCAGAAGTCTTCTGAGGGCTGGATTTTTTTTTTCACTGCTTGGTACATAATACATGCTTAATAAATATTTTCTGAATGAAAGTTGAAGACCTGAATAGAGTCCATGAGATTTAACTTCAGAGATACCAGTGATGATTTTGGTAAGCACTTTTGGGGAAGCAGCAGAGACTTAATATTGTCATTTAAAAGGGAGACACAGAAGATGATCCATTTTGAAGGGATAAAAGACAAGACAGTGTGTGGAAGAACTGTGGTTGAAAGAAGGCCTTTGTTAGTGTGAAGTTGATGGTGACTTGAGGAAGTGAGGAGTCAAGAGAAAGGGAGAGTCCAGTGAAAGAGGGGAAGGATGATTGTCAGAGTCAGCTTCCTGATGAAGCAGAAATAGATAGGATCCCCGATCATGAAAGAGTAGACCTGGGAGTCTGAGCAGCACCTGGACCGGCTCCAAAGGTGCGCAGCAAGTGTGGTTGCACAGGGCCCTGGGCTCAGAAGAGATTCGCACTTGGTGTCATGCTCTACTGTTGCTGTCTTGAAGTTTTCCATGTTCTTTGAACAAGGGGTGCTGCATTTACACTTTGCTCTGGGCTCTGATAAATTGTGTAGCCAGTCCCGAGGAGCACTTTTTCCATTGCCATGGGAGGGAGGGTGGAAGGAATACGTACAGACCATGGGGTTTTAGAGGTCTGGTGGCAGATAGTTGAGGGAGTTTTATCCGATGGCTTGAATTGTTTTGCTTTTTCTTTCCTGTGAAATAGAAAGTGAGATCATCTTCTAAGAGCAAAAGAGGTAGAAAGTGTGAGAAGTAGGAGACGGCATGATGCACTATAGAGAGGTCATTAAGGGGGATGGGCTGTGGAACCACTTGGCAAGGTCCAAATTGTGTCTCCATCACTTCCTAGCTCTGTGACTTGGAGCAAGTCAATTAACCTATTTGTGCCTTGGTGGACTAATCTATAAGTGGAAATTGTAATAATACCTCCTCAAGATACTGCCTGGCATGTAACTATTCTGGAGAATAGGAGAGTAAGGTAACTAGGGGCATGTGGATTCCCAGAACTACCCATATTTCTTTTCTTTGTGTAAGGTCTAGATTGAGGGCAAAGCGTGTCTGGTTCAAGGAGAAAATGATCAGGGCACATTACAAAAATCCTAACTGTTTCATCCCAGTTATAGTATGAAATATATTTCATTATATTCTATAAGTGGATGAAATTATGTATTTATTTTTTTAGATGTAAAAAAGAAAAATGAAGAAACAGCACAAAGTTGCTTGGAAAAGCCAAAGAAAGAAGAAAAATGAAGGCTTGGAAACTATCAAAAGTACTGAATTTCTGTACACTGAAAGACTTAGTGGCTCTGCTTCCCTGAGATGTTTGATCTGGTGGTAACTATGGTAACATTGCAATTCTAAGCAACATGTGTATATTAGATAATTTTGTTGTGAAGCTACTCACTTGGAATGCATCCATGATGTACAATGTAGGTTATTAAAAGGCATATTATTTCCAGATTGCACCCAAAAAAAGGTTAAGAATGTATGTCACTTAAATACATATCATTATCTATAAACCCAACAAAATCCACTGCTCTCTTTTTTGAATTTACTTAGCCAGATGTATTTTTAATTCCATTTTTATGGTAATGGGTAAATTATTACTTGGTAAATATAAAGCAAACACCATTCATTTAAAACTTTATGGAATTTATAGGACATAGTGTTTTTTTGATGAGAAGGAATAATAGTCCGAAAGACATAGAGAATATTTGTTTTTAACCAAAAATGTACCATTTTCCCACCACCCTAAAGTGATTTGGAAAAATTGCAAAAGTTTGACAACCTAAATATCTCTAGTATGTTTCTGCTTGATGCATTTTGCTTCTAGTCTATGCATACTGTGATTTTTTTCATGTGGACTCTTAGAACACAAAATTTGTGACAAATTGTTTATATGGAACATGCCTATTAAATGAATTTAGCTGTCTTCCTTAACTTTGGTGTATGTGTGTGCATATGTTTTTCTTTAATATGAATTACACAAAACACTTTACCGGTTCTTTTATACTGTCTTTTCTTATTCTTAGGGCTTTTTGTGTATTGTGATTTGTTTCTAAAACTATTTCCTCAGGAATGCAGACCTTAATTTTTATATATTTCCTAAAGTAGTTAACATAACACATAAATATTTAGTGAAAGTTATAGATAGAAATAGCAAAATACTTGCTTTTAATATATATTTAAGTATATATTTTAAAAGGAACAAAAACAAAACCAAAGTTTTAGTAAATTTTTATTTATTAGACATCTAGAAAAATAATAAAATTCTGAATTTCTAAAAAATGGACAAATGAATTTATTTTCATTTTCAGATATATACGCATGCAGTTATATTTTATTTGATTGTTGACTTAGGCCATGTCTGTATACGGTAATCAAATAAACTCTTCACTGTTCAAGAAACTTTGTGCTGAAACAAGTCTTCTTAATTTTATCTCCTAAAGTATACTAACTGAAAAATGGCAACACATTTTAAAGGGGGAAGTTAATAAACTTTGCAGTATAGATCACCTCCTACTTACTATTTCATTGACAAAGTCTAACTTAATATCTTGCATACACCAAGGAGGGTAGATTTCAAAGCATCTGATTGTTTTCTCAATACAAAATTTTTTAATAAAAGAATCTAAATTAATATCTTAGATGTAGCACTGAATTAATATTAATTAAATTAATATTCAATAAAATATATTACAGAGAGTGACGATTTGGCCTCATAGAGACATTTGGCAACGTCTAGAGACTTTAACTGATAACTAAAGTGGGGCCCGAGGAGAGAAAGCGCTACTGGCATCTAGTGGGCAGAGACTAGGGATGCTGCTAACCTGGCCAGCATCCTGTAGTCCTGTGGGCAGGCCCTCACAGCAAAGGATTATCTGGCGATGCCTGTCGGTAGTGCTGAGCTTGAGAAACCCTGGAGTAGAGTTAAGCTGTTAAACACATGGATTTTTTTTTTTGTATTAAGCATTAGTACTTTATTGCCTACAGATTGTCAGATCATTCTTATTGTCCCAATGTTTAGCATTTATACAATAATTTCTTTTTTTAGCCTGTGTGAATGAATTCTACACATTGTGTATTCATTATAAAAACATGATGGCAAACATCAGATTGAGTCTCAGAGTTCCCCTGTTTTCTTAAATTTATAAAGGCTAACTTTCTGAAATAATTGTTGTTCATTTCCCTCATTCTTTTTTTTAAATTTTTTTTTATTTATTTATGATAGTCACACAGAGAGAGAGAGAGAGAGAGATCGAGAGAGAGGCAGAGACACAGGCAGAGGGAGAAGCAGGCTCCATGCACCGGGAGCCCGACGTGGGATTCAATTCCGGGTCTCCAGGATCGCACCCTGGGCCAAAGGCAGGCGCCAAACCGCTGCACCACCCAGGGATCCCTCCTCATTCTTTTTTTTAAGTTTTGTTTAAATTCCAGTTAGTTAACACATACTGTAGTACTAGTTTCAACAATATAGTGATTCAACGTTTCCATACAATACTCTGTGCTCTTCACAAATGCCCTCCTTAATCCCCATCCCCTATTTCACCCGTCTCCCACCCACCTCCCCTCTGGTGACCATCAGTTCGTTCTCTGTAGTTAACAGTCTGTTTCTTGCTTTGCTTTCCTCTCTCTTTTCCCCTTTGTTCATTTGTTTTGTTTCTTAAATTCCACGTATGAATTAAATAATATGGTATTTGTCTTTCTCTGGTTCATTTTGCTTAGCATAATACTCTGTAGCTCCATCTTTGTCATTGCAAATGGTAAGATTTCATTCTTTTCATGGCTAAGTACTATTCCACTTTATACATTAAATATACTTATATAAATATAAATAAACTTATATAATTATATATTTAATATATAATTATATATATATAATAAATATAGCACATCTTCTTTGGGCTGTTTCCACAATGCTGCTATAAACATTGGGGGTGCATGTATCCCTTTGAATTAGTATTTTTGTATTCTCTGGGTAAATACCTAGTAGTGCAATTGCTGAATCATAGGGTAGTTCTATTTTTAACTTTTGAGGAACCACCGCACTGTTTTCCACGGTGGCTGCACCAGCTTGCATTTCCCGCTGGCCGCACCAGTGCAAGAGGGGTCCCATTTCTCCACACCCTCACCAACACCTGTTGCTTCTTGTATTGTTGATTTTAGCCATTCTGACCAGTGTGAGGTGATATTGTAGTTTTGATTTGTATTCCCCTGGTGATTTGTGATGTTGAGCACCTTTTCATGTCTCTTGGCCATTTGTATGTCTTCTTCGGAAAAATATCTATTCATGCCTTCTGCCCTTTTTTAAATTGGATTATTTGGTTTATGGGTGTTGAGTTTTATAAGCATGTGGGTTTTGGATCCATATGACTTGAGTTTGCATTCTAGCTCTGGCACTCACTAGCTGCATGATATTGGGCAATTTACATCATTTCCAAGTCTCAGTTTTATCCTCTGTAGAATGGTATTGAGAATAGTACATATCTTATAGGGTGAGTGGAAGTATAAATGAGACAGTATATATAAAACACTTGACGAATGCCTGGTAAATAATATTTATTCAATAAATATCGGCTATCATCATCATCACTTTTATTCCAGATGCTTTTGCCATTATTCTCTGGTAGTGGAGGTGCTGGGCAGCTGGATTTGTTAATTTGGCTATTTTCTGCCTTCCTCTGTGTTTTCACAGACATTCCCAGTTCTTGGTGCTGGGAGAAGACAGTAAAATAATGGAAATTGAAGATTCATAGTAATTACCACATTAGTGCCAGTTCAGATGTGCTAATGAGCTCCTGACAGGTGATGAGTATTATCCCTTAACAATGAATCACCTCACTAATGTTTTATGACAGTTACTGCAACAAAACAGAATTTCGAGTATTTAAATGAGTGACTATGCTATGAAAATGTAGAAGAAAAAAATTAACAACTCTTTGGTCCTAGTATTATATGATATTTTTCTCTCCTTTAGAATTAGAAGACAAGAAATGAAGCCATGTCCTTCCTCACTGTTGCTGGTTATAACACACATTCCAAATGTACATCCTAAATCACTTATTCATCACAATACACACATACATGTCCCATTATATACATATTTATAAGTATTTTGCATTACAGAAGGTACCCAGCTTGTTGAATATTTACTAATGAAAGGATTTTTTTTTTCTGAGATGGAATCCAGACAAAGGAGAATGAAAGGTCAGTTATAAAGACAAAATTGAATTTGCCCACCAACTTTTTGAAAAAAAAAAAATCAAGCTCTTTTGGGAGAACTTTTGCTGTTTTGTCAAAGACGGTGTCAACAAAACTATCTAGCTGGGGCTCATTAAAGCACATCTCCAAGCCTATTTTTGTCATTGTCTATTTACAAGCCACTTGCTTTAGTCAATAGCTGTAAAGTCTTAATTAATACTGTCAGATAAACCAGGACAAGAGGGAATGATAAAGCTACAAAGTGGTTATTTGGAAACTTGGCTATGAAAGAGGAGAAAACAGAACAAAAAAGCCTTCTGTGCTAAGAGATCTTTTTGTGATCTGGGATGGAAAGGTTGGAACTGTCTCAGAATGGGAGTGACTACAGAGCAAGACGTCTTAGTTGCAAAAGGAAATGGTTTTGCTAGCTTAGGTGGCTTTGGCCAGTTGGGGCAGAGGATGTTGGGGGGGGGGGAGAAGGAGAGAAAGAGAAGAGTTACCAAAGCACACTAGCCTATTGCCTTATCCGTGAAACCTGACACTTCAAATTCAAATTACAGTTCTGCCATTTGCTGTCAAGACTTTGTTGTTTACTCTCTGTGCTTCAATTTCATCCAATGTGTAAAATGGCGAATTATGGGAATATGCATGAACACTAGGAAAGTGCTAAGGAAAGTGCCTGATACAAAGACAAGCTGTTATCATTATTTTTATGTTTATCTTTAGTCTTAAGTTTTATTTTAAAGGATCACCGCCATTGTCGTCTGTAATCAACTTAGAAGATGGCCACCCATTTGGTCAGATTGATTGATTCTTTAGCAGTTGAAGCATTTAAAATGACAGTTTTTACTCTAAATATATATATATTTAAGATTTTATTTATTTATTAATGAGAGACACACAGAGAGGGCCAGAGACACAGGCGGAGAGAGAAGCAGACTCCCTGCAGGAAGCCTGACATGGGACTTGATCCCAGGACCCCGGGATCAAAACCTGAGCCAAAGGCAGATACTCAACCACTGAGCCACCCAGGTGCCCCTCTAAATCTTTAATAGTATATAATATTATTGATATTATAGTATATTGACTATACTTGAGAATGTTTTGCTTTCTTCTGGAGAAAATATAAGCCCCAATGTAAACCTTTAGACTATCCTACAGCACAATTTCAATAAAAAAGTTTTACTGATAACTGGACAATTTATACAATATGGAAGGGATATAACAAGAGTGGTTGTGAAGTGGCCAGTCTTGTAAGTCAGAGCTATGATCCTTGATCCACTGCTCAAACCGCTTCAATATCTGATTGATAATATCCTCTAGATTTGGTTTATTGCTGGACAGCTGATGTACTAGTTCTTTTTTTTTTTTTAAGATTTTATTTGCTTATTCATGAGAGTCACAGAGAGAGAGGCAGAGACACAGGCAGAGGGAGAAGCAGGCTCCCTGCAGGGAACCCGATGTGTGGTACTCATTCCCAGGACCGTAGGATCATGACCTGAGCCAAAGACAGATGCTCAACCCTGAGCCACCCAGGTACCCCAGATGTACTATTTCTTCCTTGTAGGATGCTAATGCTTCTTCATAAAGAATTTGAAAAATTTCACACCGAATATTGTCTTTTAGTTTCTTCTCATTATAACCCTTTATTTCAAGTCTTGTACAACACACCGTTATCTGCTTGCAGCACAAAAACTATATGAAAACCCGAGTTCAGGGAAGAAATCATCAAATAATTC